TATGAACCAACTTCAATTTAGCAGCAAAAACCATCAAGGAGTGATAGTTAAAAATCAAGCCACAGTGTAGAGAGCAGGAATTGGTGTGAATTGGAACTACACTTTCACCTGAATTCGCTGGCATTTAAATATCTCTGGCTCTTAAAACACTGACACTTGAATGGGAATAACCTCATCTTCTCCATCTTTCCTACTCCAGGAATAGTCCACTTTCTACACACACACACACACACCAAACCCCAAAAGGGATATTAAAAATCCATGGGATACTAAAGACAATCATAACTAATCCATACACTAAACACATAATGTGTAATTCAAGAAGAGTAATCCAACACTATCCATTTATTCAGTTTTTATCAATGCTATGCTGAACTCAATGATGTCTTCATTTCACATTTCTTCTATTCCCAGTAACTAATATTCAATAAAGAAACTCAATGGTTGTGACCAGAATCAGTGGATAGACTTTTTATGGATCTTAACTTACAGTAAGCAGTTCTTTCCCCTCCAAATGATCTGAATATATAAGGCTAGCATCAGGAATATTGGTGCTACAAGTGAATGTTTAGAACTAGGTCAGATCTTTTGTTTGAATGTATTATTTTATAACTATTCTTATACTTATTTTATAAAATCTCTCAACGATTTAAAAAAATGGTAGTATCATTTTTAGTAATATCAAATACCTAATATCAGGTAGTTCTTTTACTGTGTCACAATGACACTTCTACCTGCTTAAGTCTTATACAATCAAAGAAAGACATTGAGAAACAGTCCTATAAAATGGGCTCTAATACTTTGTTAAAGACACACTGAATTGCTTCCAATAAACATTATTGTCTATTTTAAAAAAAGCTCTCATTATTACAGAGAACGAAAAACACATTAAGAGACTGCTAATTTTTCAAGCTTGGCAACTTTAAGATGTATAGACTTCAACGCCTGGAATTCCTCAGCCAGCATTTAGCACACTTTAAAGTTGCCAAGTTTGAAAAGCACTGATCTATAACCTAACAGAAGACTAAAAACAGGCTTAAATATCACCGCAGGTATATCTCATTACTTTCTTCTATTTATCCAATCAAAGTTGGCCCACGTTCCACTGCCAGAAATCTGAGAGTGCAGAAACATTCTAATAATCTCCTCATCAACTCTTATTATATATAAATCTCCTTCGAAATCAAATTTAAAATTATTTTTACCATAAATATCATTTTAAAATTTAAATTAGAAATCATGATGCATACCAATAGCAGAGAAAAATGTACTATAATGCTGTTACATTGCCTTAGAATATAGATGTATCCATGAACTAGTATAATGGAACAGGCTTAAACTGTGATGCTATATCCATTGGGAAAATCAAAAACATTATTAAAAATGAAGATTTCAGCAAAAAACAAACAAACAAAAAACCCAACCATTCTTCAATATGAAAAACGTGTTAACCACACATTAACTAATTCTCTAAGATACTGAAAAAGGTCCTTTCTTATTATTCATTTTCTATAATTATAGGGAAGGACGAATATTAGAAGACTTTTCTGTCCTTCCTCCTAATTTCTATTTGAGTATTGTATTTGCAACATTGTTGAAGCATGCATGCATCTACAGGAAGTCATCCACAAGGTATATGTGAATAGTCACAGGCTTTGAACCCTTTAAACCCTGTAAGTTTTAAAATGTTGAAAAACATGGACCCAGGATTTTTCCCGTTTCATACTTTAACAATACTTTAAAAGGTGTGCTTAGCACCTAAAATGAGAGTTAATTGAAGATGAAGATGTTGGCCCAGAAATCCAGTGACTTTGAGTTCTAGTCACACTTTAGCCATGAAAAACTGGCTGGGTGACTTTGGGTCACTTTCTCTTGGCCCAATCTAACCTCACAGGATTGTTGTTGTTGTGGGAAAAATAAAAGAAATTGATGTTTTTGCCACCTTGAATTGTATATGAAAAAAGGCAGGATAAAAGAAAAATAATTTTTTTTAAATGCACTTTCAAAGAGTATACTTATAGAAATGGCAAACTATATACTTTTAGTATTAGCACTCCTTAGTATTATTAGTGCTACACACAAAAAAGTCATATGCAAAAAAATGTATGTTAGTGTATTTAATTAAATTATGCTTTATAACTAGTCACATATGCCGCAGAAGGGTTAATGATATGTATATCTCCTGATGGTTCTCCAGGGAGCAATTTGCTGATTCAGCTCCATTACATCAGACACAATAAAAATGTCTGTTGACCAAAAAGCCAGGCCTGGTTCTCTTCAAACACTATCACACAAATAACCAGTGAATCATTCTCTCTTCTTTCTCAGCACTAGCACAGCTAATTCTTTAGCAGCTATTTATATTTAAGTCAAAGAAAAAACTTGCATGAAGCAGCAGAAATGTATAGAGGCACGTCTAATAAATTATTACAGCCAGCTGTAAAGGAATAGATAGCATCTGGCTTTAGCTACTGTTAAAATCCACTCCTCTCCCAGAGCAAAAGAAAAAAAGAAAGCTTTCTAGGAAGCCCATTTTAAGAAATGTATTTTGTAAATTCATTTGCTTATGCCATTTAATCAATTAAGAACATTGTCATTTTGTAATCAATTTAAGATTTATTATCTTTAAATTAGCAATAAATAAAAATGTAGTTAAAATCTTCACTTTCCCCACAGTATTAAAAATGGAGGAGTATTAAAAATGTTAATATTCAGGAATGCTTAGGACAAATATTATGCAACTGCTTCTACTTAACTCTGTAATTTTTTTAAACCAACTTTTCTTTTCTATAACATCTATAACAGTTTGTTTTTTTTCAAATTGAAGGAAGAGCTCTGTAAATGTAGTTTACTTGGTATTTTGAGACATACCTCAGACAAATATACATCTGAGGTAAAGGGCTTACTCCTTTAACTTCCAATTATTAAAAGAAAAACTATGATGGATTAAATTAAACAATCTTTTGTTAAGGTATTCTTTGTAATGGTTGCAACTGCCATACAAATCACTGGACAAAGGACTAAAGATATGGATTATTCTGAAACAAAAATTAATGTCCATATTCTTAAATGCTTATTTTGTGAAGATGTAAAATTACTCATGATTTACTCTAGCTATTCCATATTAGTTTGGGAATAACTTGTATCATCTAAAGATTGGCTATTGTTTTTTCTATGAAAAAACTTTCCATGAAAGAAAGTTTGCGTAGGGCAGGAGAGTGAAGGAACAAGCCTGAAGATAATGTGTGAGAAAAATGAACACATAAACAGTCCAAAAAGGCAGAACACCCATGAGAGTAGTTAAATATAGACAGATGGTTTAAAAGGGGCAGAATGCAAAAGACCTGGGTAAAGAGATTTACAATACACTACAATAGATTACAATTCAAGAAGTCACTTTCAATTTTCTAAGTGCAGGCAAATATTGGTGAGATGGGTGACAAACAAATTTAATAAATAAAACAAATGTCAGCAATTGTTTATTATTTACTGTTTTCTCAAACATGTGGTCCTTGCTTAACAACTGAGCCTCTAACAGGACTGAAAAAATGGTAACTACAATTGGTCCACTCCTCACCCTTACAAAAGTTGGAGCATCCTGTGATTATGTAATCGCCATTTGCAGCCTCCTTTGTCAGCTTCCTACAAGCAAAAGCTTCCTACAATCAGGAAGCCAGGAGGAGATCAGAAATAGCGATCTCCTAATTTAATACCAGGATGCATTCAACAGCAGCAACCAGAAGTGCATAATTTGTGAACTATACAGCATGGTACCTTGACACCACACTTTATAACCACATTACTTAACAACAGGAATTCTGTTCCCAATTGCTGTTGTTAAATGAGTAACTGTTGACATATCTTGGAATGTGCAAGTAGCAAGATGAATAGGAGCAGTGCACAAATACAAACAAAATGACACATGAGGAACACAAACACACACACACACACACTCTTGACTATACCAAAGATTCAACACTATTGTGTAGAAGCAAGGAGCTCATTTGCACATTTATGCCTCATCCCTATGCCATTTGTGTTCATAGAGTGGAGCAACTCAGGCCAGGAAGTTATACTTCACAGTAATCATTTTATAATCTTATAATTTTAAATTTTTAAATCTTAAATCAACTTTGATATTTGAATTTAATCTTATTTACTGTTTATATGCCGAAATATATCACCCTCTTTGAAGGAGCTGGGTGGTATAGAAACATGAAATATAAATAAATAAATTGTATTATCAGGGTATGTTGTAGGGAACAATGAAAAGATAGAAGTAATTTAGAATAGAAGATGGACAACTGAGCAGTAATTTTGATTTTCATTCCATGTCATTGCCAAGTATTTTCAAAGCTGCTCAACTCAAACAATGCTGATTGGCCAATCATTCTTAACTTTACATCAGCTTTATATGACTTTATTACGCCCAATCAGTGCATCTCAGAATAATTCTTGGATATATTTCTTCCACAAACACACTCTGCAAAGTCTTTCGATAATTTATCTTATGGTTATTTGAAAAAAATATCTTTCTCTGAAGCATATTCAAAAGGGTCACTAGAATGAGCAACCAAAATTAAAAACTATGAAATGACACAGTCCAACACAACAGATTCTTGTATAAAAAGACAAGATGGATTTTATTTGAGGACCTAATAATTATAAATTACATAATCAGTTTCATTAAGCTGACCCACAGAATTCTGGAAATGAAAAATAATAAAATACATAGAAACTGACATCATCTGAGATCAAATTAACTGAAGGATATGCTGTTACATATTTAACAAGTAAAAGTTGCTAAATACTGTATATCCATTGATTAAAAAAACTTTGAATTTAAGACATGTCTTATATTCATCTATAAATTTAAAAATTTTATTTATAATTCAAGAGAAATGTATAATTAAAATCTTAATCTTTGAACCCATTTTCTTGAGTTGTATAATACACTTAATACTTTTAAATAAATATATACCATCTGAACTATTACTTACCCCTGTTTTATCACAAAGTCGTAATGTGTGAAAGGATCCAACAGCAAATAATTCCCCATCCAAAGCCCAAGCAACAGAAGTGATAGGATATTCATGGGACAGTGAGCTATACAGCAAACGACCATAGCTATCCCATACCTATTTTATTAAAGAACAAAAACCAAAGATTTGTATGATGATGTGTATCGTGTGATTTCATTTCAGTGAGACTGTGTGGTTTGTTTTCGCACCCATGTAAAGTAATATTAATGTAATCTTTATTCAAAACTTAATAAATTTAAAATTCCCAATCAAAGTATCTATTCTTGATTATGTTAGTACATTTAAACTGAATATTTTCCAAAAAAATAATGTACCGTATTTTTAGGAGTATAAGATACACTTTTCCCCTCCTAAGAGGGTGAAAATTTAGGTGCGTCTTATACACCAAATGTAGCCTCATCCACCCACTGGCCCCCACCCTTTGGCCTCTGCCTCCCAGCAGTTTACCTCCTTGCAACAAGAAGAAACAGCTCCTTTCAGCTTCAGCACAGCCTAATTAGCACAAGTTGATTGGATTGGCCTCCTGAATCTCAGTTGTTTTGCTCTCAGCTGTTTTGCGGGGGCCTCTGCTGCTTGCTGCAAGGAGGTAAATTGCTGGAGCAGATTGTTTTTTCTTGTGCTAATCAAGCTATGCTGAAAACGAAAATGAAAGTAAAGCAGGCTGTTTGCTAAAATGAGGCAAAATTGCTGAGAGGCAGAGGCACAGGCAGATTTCTTTTTCTTGTTTTCCTCACCAAAAAAGATAGATGCGTCTTATAGTCCGGAGCGTCTTTACTCCGAAAAATACGGTATTTATTAATATAATGAACTGGCTTATGATTTTTTACAATTTTTAAAATTTTTAATTCAACATTTTAACTCTAACATTCTAATTTTTATATAGTTATATATTTTGATGTTTTATTGCAGCGGTCCCTAACCTTTCCGGCTAAAGTATTGGCGGAGGACCACGTGGTGTGAGCCCATTTGGAACAAGGCTGTGCGAGCAGCAGGCGCGGGCACTCACGTGCGCAGGTTCATTTATACAAAAGGTGGGTGCATGTACCCACCACTCGTGCAACTGGAGCTACATGTGCACCCGCCCGCCACTTACATGGCCAAGTTCTGAATGGGCTGCAGCCCAGGGGTTAGGGACCCCTGTTTTATTGGACACCCAGAGCCCATCTTTGAGAATGATGGGCTTTTTAGAAATGTGAAATATAATAAATAATGCTCCTGTCTCCTATTTTTCCCCACAACTCTGGGATGATTGGGGCTGAGAAAGAGTGACAGGGCCAAAGTTGCTTGGCCAGCTTTCTTGCTTAAAGGAAGCCTAGAACTCGCAGTCTTCTGGTTTCTAGGCTAACATTTTAACCACTGCAAAACTAGCTGTCAACATTAAAATAGTAATTAATTATGACTGTAATTAATTATAAGTATGTGGTAAGTTTAAGACATTCTTGGTACAGATAATCATATAGGTTCCACAATTGGAATCAGTAATTCAGTCATTAAGTGAAGCGGCCACTAAGGAAAAAGGCAAAGGTAGATCATAACCGTGAACAGTCGCTAAATGAGGCAGTTACTAAACAAGGATTACTTGTACTTGTTACACACACACACACACACACAGTTTCAAGGAATGTGTGGTGAATATTGCTTCTTTTATTTAATTGCACTTCTTACGATAGTTAATTGCATATTTTAAGACATTTTTGGAAAGAATGCATACCTTATATTTACAGTCTTCCCCAGCTGACAAAATAAGATCATTGACAGAATTCCAATCAACTTTTAGAATAATTCCATCATGAGCTTTCCACTGGGAACAAACAGGAAGAAGAAATATATTTAGAATAAAGTTTATAATAATGCAACAATCAAGTCCTAAGAGCTCTAAATATTAACAAGGTATAATATTAAGGAAGTTAGTTTTACCATTTTTAAATAAGTAACGCTTTAGTCAAAATATTTGATGTGTAGACACGAAAAGTGATTGAACTTCAGTTTGCAAAAAGATTGCTTTAACTTTGATTGTATAAAACATGTTTATGGATTTGATTAATTGAAACTTAAAATACATTTCGTACAGCTCTGTTACATATAATTGAAACAATAAACTCACAAAATAATGTAGAATGGACCCTTGATGCCATTATTTAGCAATCATTTCAATTAGCATGTTTCCAGGTAGCTCAACTTCTACATGCTAATTTTATTAAGACATTCAACTACTTTAAATACAATTTCCAGAATTGTTTCACTTTGTTTAATACTTTGCACTATTTTTTACTGTTCTTCCCTGAACAGGTGTTAATCCTCTTCTCCCGCACATTTTCCAGAATTAAATATTATAGAACTTTCATATTAAATTACAATTTGTAATCTAATTCCAGATTAATTTAATGTTGGCCCAGGTGTCGGCAACCCCAAAGAGCTGCTTGTGGCTCTTTGGGCCTTCTGCTGCGGCTCCTTGTCCCATCACTGGCTAGCCCCGCCCCTCACCCTCCCCTCCCAGTCATTCCTCGCCTGGCCTGAGAAGGTAAGGATGATGGCGGGTGGTGGAGAAGCAGCCGGGGCTGATTCTCCAGCGCCTCACTCTTGCTGGAGCTTCTTCCGACCCTTGTTAGTGCTGGGCGTGCCTTGGTTACTTGGGGAGATGTGCAACCTGCTCTCCGCCCCGAGACACTGCCCTGCCCTGGCCGACACCGGCCTCGCTAACACGAGAGCTGGCGGGGTGGGAATGGGATCCAGGAGGATGGGACGATGGAAAGGGGGATGGGCCTGCAACGCCCAGCCACTGCTTTAAGAAGCTCAAGGCAGCAGGAAAAAGGGGCTGGCCCTGCTGAACCTCACACACCCACCACAAGGGTCTGGAAAGCCAAGGCTGGACCAAGCTGGGGAGTTCTCCTTGTGGCTCTTCGCTATTGCTTTTCTTTCTTCTTTTTCGAAATCTGAGCTGGCTGAGGAACAAGCATGAAGAGCAGCAGAGGCTTCTTTTTGGGTAACTCTCCTCCTGCTTCTCATCTTACGGCCCCCTGGCTGGCTGTGGCAGGGCAAGGAGTGTGTGCATGAGCGGGGAGATCCTCCTCAAGTGAGCGGCCAACCATCCCATGCATGCTTTGCTGCGCTTTGGCTGAGGCCGAAGAGGGTCTCCCCGCTTATGCGCATGCTCCCAGCCCCACCACAGCTGGGCAAGGGGGTTGCCCAAAGGGAAGCCTCCGTTGCACTTCACGCTTGTTCCTCAGCCAGCCCGGATTTCCAAAAAGAAAAAAGAAAAGCAGTAGTGAAGAGCCTACTGGGCTTTCTGAGAGAGTGAGAAGAGATACAGACACAGATACAGAAAGAGAGATATAGAGATACACACACAGAAAGACATAGAGAGACAGACACACACACAGAGAGATACAGGGAGAGGGAGACGGGGGGAGAGAGGGGGGAAGATAGTGAGGGAGAGGGAGAGAGAGATACAGAGAAATACAAAAGAGGGAGATACAGAGAGAGGGGGGAAAGGGGGGGAAATAGAGAGGGAGAGGGAGTGATACAGAGAGAGGGGGGAGAGAGAGGGGAAGATAGGGAGAGGGGGAGAGAGAGTTACAGAGAGAGGGGGGAAGGGAGAGAGAAAAGGGTTTTGTGGTTCTCTGCCCTAATAATCGGCTAGGTAGGCATGGCTAGGAGGGGGGGGGGTGTCATGTGACTGGGAGTGAGTGACAGCGAGTTGGCCATGCCCACCCAGGTTTTGTGGCTCCTGGTGGGTTTTTTTTCTGCGGGAATTTTTTTTTCTGTGGGTCCAAATGGCACTTTGAGTGTTTTAAGGTTGCAGAGCCCTGGCCCCTTGTTCTGGTGTGGTGGTTAAGGCACTGTTTTTCAACCTCAGCAACTTTAAGATTTTTGCTGGCTGGGGGAATTCTGCGGCTTGAAGTCCACTCATCTTAGCTGTAATGTTACTTTTTTAAGTTAGCATGATGACATGCATTAACTAGTAAAGTAATAGTTAACTTGATTCAATTTGTCTAGCTTAGGTTTAGAATCTAAGCTTTTGTATAGCAGATACTTCTGAATACCAATTCTGAAATAAATGGTGACAATTCTATCAACACAACATATTCTCTGAATGCTATACATCACCATCCTTCACACAACAAAGGCAAGATGAAGATTACTCTTTTGGATACTGTTCACTCAACATTTTGCAATCATAATTATTAAATACTCTATATTAATGATACCTGTAAAACTTTAGCATTTGGCTGAAGTGGTTTGATAATCAATTGTTTTCCTGATGTGTAAAGAATCTTTTCAGAATCTGGACCCCATGCTACTGAATATATAGGTGTTCCTATTGAGATAAGGGAAGAAAAACACAGTGATACACATTGGTGAGAAATGCTACTATTATTTACATTCCAAAAGAGTTTAATACTGTTCTAATCTATTTCAGTTTTATACCACGTGTTTAAAAATGATAGAATTAAGAACAAAGATAAACTTTTATTCATACAGGATTTTGCAAGTTTATGCTCTCTCCATTCTTATATAACATTTATGTAAAAGTGCTAGGGAGATCATCTATCAGTATAGGATTGGAATTCATCAGGAGACTATCCAAGTCTGGATGGGGAGAAACAAGTTAAAACTCAATCTAATATGCTAATAGCAAAGTATTATGGTGTCATAGAGTAAAAAGTCTAGAGAGTACAAGATTGCCGGGCCAAGGTCTTGACAATTGCATTATTCTTGTTTGGAATGTCAAGGGTTTGATCAAAGGAATGGTGAATTCAATTTCAGAATAAAAGACAATATCACTCTTATCAATAGAAAGATGGATTAACATTTAATGTTGCTGTTCTGACAGCCCAAGAACAAGAGAAATTATCATTATACAAAACATGCCAATGGTGAGAAAACAAGTACATCCATTGCTTAAGTAAGAATTTGTTAACACCTGACACATTCTATTCAGTTGCAAGGAGGGCAGCTTGTTGTATTCTTAATTTCTTGATCGGGATTCCCTGCGCACAGTCACTCATGCCCTCGTCACCTCTCGCCTGGACTACTGCAATGCTCTCTACATGGGGCTCCCCTTGAGGGGCACCCGGAGGCTCCAACTGTCCAGAATGCGGCCGCGCGGGTAGTTACGGGAGCTGCATGGCGCTCCCATACAACACCTCTCCTGCGTGAGCTGCACTGGCTCCCAGTGGTCTTCCGGGTGCGCTTCAAGATGTTTGTTATCACCTTTAAAGCACTCCATGGCATAGGACCTAGATATCTTCGAGACTGCCTGCTGCTACCGACGGCCTCCCATCGACCTGTGCGCTCCCACAGAGAGGGCCTCCTCGGGGTGCCATCAGCCAAACAATGTAGGCTGGTGACCCCCAGGGGGAGGGCCTTCTCTGTGGGGGCACCTACCCTCTGGAACCAACTGCCCCCAGAGATAAGGAGAATCCAAGACCTCGGTGCCTTCTGCCATGCCCTTCAAATTCTCTTTTTTCAGCAAGCCGGGTTGGCTTAACACTTTTAAATGTTTTTAATTGGTTTGTCATTGTTTTTTAATTACGGGGCCAAATTTTTAATATTTTAATGTTTGTAGTCTATGTTTTTATTGGGCTGTACACCACCCTGAGTCCTCAGGGAGAAGGGCGGTATATAAATTTGATATAAAATAAAATTAAAAAAAATATACACTTGAAACCCAAGGAAGATTCCATTTGTGGTTGTTAAAAAAGAACCTGTATCATCATCTGCCTGTACAATATGTCAAATCTTACTCTATACATATTTATACATCAAAAACAATCAACTCAAGAACAGCAGTGGATAAAGGTAACATGGTACAGTTATTTGGTTTAGCATAAGTGGATGACAGCCAAATCTTTTGGTTTATATTGTTGGTGAAAGTTTGTTTGAGCTGCTAGAATAGCAGAAATACTGTTGAAAAACTCCAAATCTCCTAAGCTATTTCTCAGACTTTATATGGACAACAAAATGATCTTCACAAAGGTGGATTGCGATTTAATAATGACAAGTCTGAAATATGGATAAGCTTTTGAAATCACTCAAGGTTAAAGACTGACATTCTATTTGGAGTCTAGTTAAAATAATGGATAGTGTCATTAAGCACCTTCACTAAGCACTGTGGCTACTAAGCTGAAATACAAGACTGTGACAGATTTACAAACTCACTTCCACTTCCACTGTTAACTGAATCACTGTGATCACTAAACGAGACATCACAAGACCTGATTTCCTGATTTCCTGCAATTGACACAAAACCTCTAATTGGATATGGCAATCAATGTAGCTCGTGGAGCAGAAGCATAACATGTGTAATTTTAGAAGCATATGTAACTATCTGCACTTCTGCATTTTGCATCAGCCGAAGCTTCTGGATTTTCTTTAAAGGCAGCACCATGTACAGTGCATTACAGTAATCCAATTGGAAGGTGACTAGGGCATAAGTAACTGAGAGCACAGCCCCACAGTCCAGGAACAGTATAAGTGGGCATAACAGGCATACAACCCAAAGTTGTGCAAAAGTCCTCCTAGTCATGACTGCCACCTGCTCTTACAGCAGGAGTCATGAATCAAGGAGGAGCCCCAGATTGCACACAATGTCTGTTTGGGGCTCTACAACCCAAATCAGCAAAGATGACAAAGGTAATATAGAACACAATCAAAATATTTTTAAAGGAATAAGCTCTTGAAAGATATTCAGTATTAAGTATGTTATCGTTAAAAGAAAAATGAAATAAAGGATTTCTTAGACAAAAAGAGAGGTAGAGAGGTGGAAATAAAGGATACTAAGATAAAGAAAATCTAAGCATACTAAAAAGCAGAGACATCACCCTGCCAACAAAAGTGCATATAGTCAAGGCTATAGTTTTCCCAGTTGCAATGTATGGCTGTGAAAGTTGGACCATAAGAAAGGCTGAGCGCCAAAAAAATTGAGGCCTTTGAACTATGGTGCTGGAGAAGACTCCTGAGAGTCCCTTGGACTGCAAGGTGATCAAACCGGTCAGTCCTAGAGGAGATCAACCCTGACTGCTCTTTAGAAGGCTGGATCCTGAAGATGAAACTCAAATATTTTGGCCACCTAATGAGAAGGAAGAACTCACTGGAGAAGAATCTAATGCTGGGAACGATTGAGGGCAAAAGAAGAACGGGACGACAGAGAACGAGGTGGCTGGATGGAGTCACTGAAGCAGTTGGCGTGAGCTTAAATGGACTCCAGAGGATGGTAGAGGACAGGAAGGCCTGGAGGAACATTGTCCATGGGGTTGCGATGGGTCGGACACTACTTCGCAACTAACAACAAGATAAAGAAAGTTAGCAGGGAGGGGAAAAGGTCAAGATGATGGCATTGCTTTCTATCTTGCTCTCTTCTTTCAGCATGGAAGTATGTAAAGAGCAAACTGAAAAAACAAGCATATACTGAGAAGCATTCTTCTTGGCTAATCTGCAACAAAAGAATTCCCTTCCCACCGAGAATCTCCAAATTATGAGCTACTACTGGCAAGATTGCAGGAATTTTTATCTGGATTGACTTTTGGAGGATGTGATGAAATCTTTAATATTATATTTTAGCATTTATTTTCTATTGTATTCAGGTTTTTTAAATCACTTATTAATCAAGCTCCTCACCCCAAATAGCTTACTGAAACTCAAAGGTAATAAATTAAGGTCTGATATGGGTTTGTCAACAGAAAAAAAGCAGAAAAAGCTAAAGAAACACAGACAAGCTATTCCCTAGTGGTTCAAAGTGGTTCAAAGAACCAGAGCAGGAGAACTTAAATGGGGATGAAATTTATGTGAATGCAGGAATGGCCATAAAGCAAATTATCTGATATTTTTCAGTCAGGATTCATCTCTGGGTACAGAACTGTGTCTTATCTACATTCCAACTGTATGATTTGTGTGATTTCAGCTATACAAACATTGTTATATAACTGTATAACTGCATTATAAAATATTAAACTAACATTCTCAATCAATAAATTAAAAATAATGTACATTAGATTGCAACAATACATTATTCTTAGTTGAACTCAATTTATTTATCTGGTTGAAAAAACAGCAGTGGAGAATCTCAGCAATCATCAAAACAACATATAGAGAAAAAGATTATAAAGTCAAACAATATTAATGAATTTAAAATTGAATAAAATTAAATATTGGAATAAATTAACAATGGAAAGCATGAAGATTTTACTATCTTGGCATTCTTACCAATTTTAGTAATGATGTTTATCCATTGCTAACTTTATTTGATCTAGCACTAGCACTTAGACTTATATACCACTTACAGTGCTTTACAGCCCTCTCTAAGCAGTTTACAGAGTTAGCATATTGTCCTCAATAATCTGGGCCCTCATTTTACCCACCTCAGAAGGATGGAAGGCTGAGTCAACCTTGAGCCTGGTGAGATTCAATCTGCCAAATTGCAGGCAGCCAGCAGTCAACAGAAGTAGCCTGCAATACTGCATTCTAACCATTGCACCACCGCAGCTCTTAAAGTTGTCAGAGATACACTCCTCCTATTTTCATGGTAACACCACTTTAATTTGGACTAACGATTTGCATACCATATTAAGTGATTTGAGAAACTCAACTGAATTGTAACTGGATTGTTTCCCTAGGGATGGTTTCATTTCTAATTCAACAACAAAACGTACTAGACTGATCCATTTCTAAGGTTCTAAGTTCATTCTCTGACATTAGCTATTCTTTCTTCTCAATTGACTTCATCTGAAATTGAATCACCTAATCCACTGATAAACTGGATTAGAACTTTTGGTTCCAGTTTTTGAAAAGTTACTTTCAAAAAGGTATTTCCATTCATGGCTGACTCCATACCTAGGGAAAGTCCGTATTTATGTTTGGTAACTAGAAGGAAAATATAGAAAAACAGTCCCTTTAATATAAATTACTCCTTTTGTATTTGCTCTTTGCTGAAAAATAACCTTATCAGTCAAGATGATAAAATTAGGAAGCAGTTTAAAAACAAAACCTAAAAGGATAAATAGGATAAAATACCTCTTTAGATATAAAGAGGGGGAAATACCTCTTTAAGTATTTTATGGCTTATTTAAAACTAAGAAAAACTCAGGATAAAACAATTATCAGAGATTTGAATAAGAGAAACAAAACCAATAAAAATATAGTTGGTTATCAAATAAATGACAATTGGAAAAAGTGCTCCTTTAAACGAGAATTAAAAGAAGTAGAAATTCTGGAATAGGAAATAATGTGGCAGTACAGAGAACAAAATGGAAGCTGAAAATACAAGGTGTTTGCAGGGAAGAGTTTGAAAACTGGGGATTCCTTTTCTCTATATTCCATTTAAGATGTCAGTAAGACATCCAATAAAGAAAAAATAGGTAAATGAAGCAAATATATGTGTCCCAGGATAATGTTGCAGGGTCCAGTCTGAGACAGTCATCAGGACCAGATATTTACTCTTCCAAGCTTTCAGACTCAGGGAACTTCTCTTTTTCCAGAATGTGCATTCTGGAAAATTCTGAATTCAGAATGTGTATTCTGGATAATGTGTATTCTGAAAAATTCAGAATTCAGAATTTATTCTTAGGTGGAATTTCAAAAACAGTAAAGAAATAACAACTTACCTTGTTGTACTAATGTGGATCTTAGCATTCCACTCTTGGACCAAATTTTTATTTGTCCATCTTCACCAACTAGAAATAAATATCAAAATCTTTGCTTAAATAAGTTTTTAGCATTAAAATCCTTTAAAACTTTGAATATTGTAAGTTGCATTATGACTTTACCCCTAAAAAGCAGTACTAACAGTCTTGAAGTGTTTCTCATTGCTTTCTGAGGAATCGTATGATAAAAAGAACTTCCATTCTCTTTGACTACTTCAAAGTTTAAAGATTTCCTACAGTAATATGCTAGCATAATAATCAATATGATATGATTATTATAATCAATGTAAATGTTTTCTTCCTCTTTCTCTAAATATTCTTAAATCACCTAAATAAGAAGGCATACAAAGAAATTAACAGGCCTTCCGTTTATGCTGGAAGATAGCAATGGCAAACTATTGGGAAGAAAACTTCAACTGTGTAGTTGTCAGAAATCAAGGTTGACTTGAGGACATCTTACCATAATCCTGTTTGAATAATTTTCTTAACCATCTTATGAATAATTTCAGAAGAAAATATAAAGAAATGATAACCTCTAGTTTCAATTCTTCTATTTTTTAAAAGGAAACATTAAGAAAGGGGAAAATATAATTTCCTAAATATGTATTGCATTTTCCTGTTTTTTAAAGTTTTTATTTCTTCTGCATGTAATGTATACACATTCAACAGAATGTTGAATGAATCTATTATTATCACATGCAAAAGAGCAATAGTAATCATATATTTAATAAAGGCTCGTCCAGTCTTTTGCTATTTTATACAAATGGAAAATATGTCTGCATACTTATCGTATTGCCTGCACTAAATATCTGAAGCTCCCTAAAGTCCTGTATTCAATTAACAATTGGATTTTGAATTTGACTTATTTCTGTGAATTGATAATGAGGGCTGTTTTATTACTATAGTCAATACAATTATTATATTCATTATTTTCCTACTTTTTAATCTATACACTGCACATAAATAGTATGCATTTGTCTGTACCATGTACAATATGTGTCAACTTCTATTTACTCAGGGATTCACTGAAATATCTGATCTGATAGGGTATTTTACATAAAACAGTATATTGCAACTATTTTCACTGTTGTATAAATCAATACAAGTGACGAACAACTAGTTTTTATTCCATGATGTTGCCTTTCAGTCAGTTTACTACTGGTTGAACTATACAATAAATAAAAGTTTTTCATATCCAATGTTGCCTCTGGTTTAGCTACTTTTGGAATACACAAATGATAATGTACTATTAGAGTTTAAAGCAACATATTCTACAAGCACAGTAATGAAATAAATATGAATGCTTTCTATATAACTGGCTATTTATCTTTATATAATTTCCATGCGCTATATATTTTATATAGTAGTCATGTTACTTCTTTTCCATCATGTAATTGAAAAAATTAAGCAATTACACAAATGTTATTCCATCTTTCTTTCAATTTCTGCATTTTAAAAAAGGGGCAATTCTCCTTTTGCATTTTGGGTTAACCATATTCCTTCAGGACACACTTAGAGATTAATCCTGTTACCTGTAACAAGTGCGGTACCTTCATAATTCCATCTTCCTGCAAGTACAGCTCCGCAGTGGGCTTCTACACTTTTTTCAACTCTTCCAGTTTTGGAAATCAAATGAAACTTACCTATAGGAATATTATAATTATTATATTGCATTATAAACCTAAATTACATACAAATATAATTTCTGAAAAACAGCATTTAATTCTCTTTTTCTAATTTATTAGTCAATTTACTATTTTCAGTTTGTAAATATTTCTCACTGATATGAGTAATTGATTTCAGTACAACTGAAATTATTCACACATGTATGACATTGAAATCAATAGGACAAATTAGATAAACTAATTTATCTCATTGAAAGTATCAGCTCAGGGACAGTATGTGTAGTTACAGGACCTCTAAAGAAGAAACATGGTTTGGTGCTAAAAAGCCTGGGAAAATATGGTGGGAGGTTCTTGCCATGCTGTTTCAGAGGAAGGGAGATGCAGAATTTGATTCTGGTAACTCTGGAACTTTATTGGTCCCAAGTGGCCATATTACTGTATTTAGGTTTGGGCTACTGTTGATAAGTAGTTTTATTTGCAAATAAGATCATGTAATAAGCAATAAAATCAAGTTCACTCAGGTGATCAGATATTAAACCTGATCTTCACTTTAGAGCCTTAATGTATCTTTTGAAACAGAAAAATATTATGGTTCTTCACCATAAATAGATAATTTCTTATCCAGATGAGGATTATTAGCAATCCAGTTCTTTGCAAGGCAGGAACACAATTATAATGGTTTATACAGAAGCCTTATAGACCTTCACATAAAACTGACCCATCTAGGGCATACATCTAAAATTGGGATGATTAGCATCCCCCTGTGATATATTTAAGGGGTCTAGAAAAGGTGTTTTTCTGTATGTACTCAACTCTCACAGAACAGCCTTCCCATATGTGACCCAAATTGTGACCTCCTTGAAGATGTTTAGGAGCATAGTTAAAACACCTTTATTCTGAATGCCTATTCATAAAATGAGCAAAACTCAGTATGAATTTGTCCTTGATAGATTTTGGCATACTACCTGTGTTTTCCCGAAAATAAGACTGAGTCTTACATTAATTTTTGCCCCAAAAGATGCATTAGGACTTATTTTGTAGTTAGATCTTATTTTCGGGGAAATACGGTATTAAATGTGTCTGGTTGATTATCTTAACTGGGGCTTATTTTGGGGGTAGGGTTTAAATTACAAGCATCCTGAAAAATGTTAGGGCTTATTTTCTGACTGAGTCTTATTTTCAGGGGGAAAGTACCCCAAAACATTAAGAAGCTAACCAAGAATGGACTGGATAGTGTCTTAATTATATCAATACTTATGTGTCTTAAAAACTATTTTCAAAGAATGTCAACTGCAGGATCTTATCAAACAGAGTTATTAAGTGAGATTGAACAAGGATTAATCCTGTAAAGGTAAAAGTAAAGGTTCCCCTTGCACATATGTGCAAGTCGTTCCCGACTCTAGGCGGCGGTGCTCATCTCCGTTTCAAAGCCGAAGAACCAGCGCTGTCCGAAGACGTCTCCGTGGTCATGTGGCTGGCATGACTCAACGCTAAAGGCTCACGGAACACTGTTACCTTCCCACCAAAGGTGGTCCCTATTTTTCTACTTGCATTTTTTACGTGCTTTCAAACTGCTAGGTTGGCAGAAGCTGGGACAACTAATGGGAGCTCACCCTGTTACGCGGCACTTGGAATTCGAACTGAACTGCTGACCTTTCAATCGATAAGCTCAGCATTTTAGCCACTGAGGTACTGCGTCCCTTTTATTAATTCTGTATTTTCTATTAATATTTTACTTAATAATTTTGACATATTAACTCTTTTGATTACTGCTGTAAATCAGACTTCAAAAATTAACTTTTAGTAAGAAACTTTTTTGATAATATAGTTGGAGCAAAAAAACCTGAAAATACTCAGTTTCAACTTCAAATTTCAATTTCATATCTACTCCTTTCCCCCCGTTTTTATTAATTAATGAAGCCATGAAGATTCTCAATATTGAAGCATTTTTGCTGTTCTGGAAATCATCCAAATAAGATATTAGCAGGCTTTTCATGTACTGCATGCACAAAACTATGTCTGTTATATTCATTTGCTACCACAAACACTTTAAATATTCTGTTTCAGTTTTAACAATTAGTCATCAGTGAAACAAAAACTAGTGGAGGCGGCGGCGGGGGGGGGGGGGGGGGGAGAAACACTTTTAAAGAACCAGTAAAGATGAAAAGCAGAATGAATAAAAAGTGTATGTGTTAGTATTTGTAAAAAAAAATTGATAATTTTAATTCCACTTTTCCAGACAGAAATTGATTTTCAAATCTATCAAAGAACAAAGGAATTAATATTAAAGTGATTTAAGAATTATTCAGTTCAGTAGGACTTTTATTCAAGCCAGTTTATTTATTCAAGAATAAAGCTAATGCTTAAGAAAAATGTCATATAACTCGAGGACTACCTGTATAATTTTTACCTTCAAAACCCAGTTCCATTTTCCAGTCCACTGCCACACATCAACACAACACTATAATGATAAATTATACAGACCATATCCAGGACAACCAAAACTGTGTCTAAGTTCAATTGTCTTTGGACAAATTCTTTCTTGCCCTTCACACATACATATGGATAATATACTGTACATGCCACCAAAAATCATTACTAATATATACCTTACAAAAAGATATTGAAAAGCTAATACACACATTCCATTAAAAAAAAAAGAAAAACATTTCAGCTACATAGATAATGCATCAAATCAACACTATTGACATTTATTTCCATAACAGAATACAAAGTTGGAAGGGACCTTGGAGGTCTTCTAGTTCAACCCCTGCTCAAGCCGGAGACCTTATACTATGTCAGACGAATGGCTCTCCAGTCTCTTTTTAAAAGCCTCCAGTAATGGAGTACTTCTGAAGGCAAACTGTTCCACTGATTTATTGTTTGCACTCTCAGGAAATTTCTTAGTTCTAGGTTCTCCTTGGTTAGTTTTCAACCATTGCTTCTTGTCTCGCCTTCTAGAGCTTTGGAAAATAGATTGACACCCCCACCCCACCCCCATTCTTTGTGGCAACCTCTCAAATACTGGAAAACTGCTATCATGTCGCCCCTAGTCCTTCTTTTTAATAGACTAAACAAACCCAATTCTTCATATATTCTAGCCTCCAGCCCTCTAATCATCTTTGTTGCTCTTCTCTGCACTTTTACCAGGGTCTCAAAATGTTTTTTATATTGTGATGATCAAAACTGGATTCAGTATTCCAAGTGTGGTCTTACCAAGACCTTATGAAGCGATAACATAATGTAAAAGTACTTACCCAGTAAATCATCACAAACATTGTATAATAAAAGAAAAAAAAATAAGCAGAGTGCAACTTGGAGATGCCACTTGGTTAGAAAAATAATCGAAGGGAAAAACAAATAAGAAATTGGCCAAAATATTATTAATTTGCTTGTCTAAAAGATCAACTTTACGTTATCTGAACAACACTGGACAAAATAAATCCTGCTAGTGTTATGTGCAAATATAATCAATGTGTCAATGAATCAAAAGTAGTGATTTAGGATGGTAAATCATATTTGATAGTACCCCAAAATGAATAACATACGTTTTCAAGGCAACTTACCATCAGAACTTGTAAGTACAAAACTTTCAGCATGGGTTTGTCTCTTTCCACCTAAACTTTTAGGAAACCAGTGAAGATCTAAAGGATAGATATCATCAGGAAGTTTGACAACTTGTGCTGTTTCTCCATTTAACAAGTTCCATTTTATAATCTGGTGATCATCGCTGCATGAATATAGTTCATCTGCTGTTGTCCAGCCTACGCAGCTAACTAATTCCTTATGTTTTAAAAGAATTAAGGAATAAAATTATTTGTAACACATTTGACTCATGCATTATTGAAAAAGAATTTAAATTTGTTTTAAAAATTGATACAATAAATATTATAGTACATTTTATTTTAAAATCTCAGCATCTGAATTTTTCAGCACAAAAAATACATGGATTGGTATGCTTAATCCTAGAATTTACAACAAATATTTGTACAGTTTTGTTTGTATGAGAGCTGCTTTGCTCAAATGAAAGTACTATAACATCTCCTCTTCAGAGAATGTGAATAAAAATTAGCACATAGTAAAAATGTTGTCTTGAATCCAAATCCATCTGTAAATCCACTGAAATCATTAAGACTTGATAATTACTGACTGATCTATTTAATTTAAACAGAACTTTCACAATTCAAACTTTTCCTAGAGAACAGCAATACAATATTGCAAACTGTAGAAGTTTAACAGTTAAAAAGCTTGTTTATATCCTTCTATTTTGAGAACAGGCTATTTATTCCTAATCATGTTTTTAATCCATCACCAAGCAATAGGAAATTCCTTTTTTTTTTTTTTGCTCCTTATTGTTGAAGTGTTTAACAATGAACAGTTTAGATGAGGTTTCAAATCGTCTCTATTTCACATGCTTTCCATATTCTCAAAACCTTTAGCAGATCAACATTTTTTTTACAAGCCCTGTTTATTTCTCTTCAAAACCTTTAATCATATTTTTGTTTGGGGAGCTGTCTCCAACTCAGTCCTATCAAGATCAAGTAGTTGTGGGTGTTTGGGTTGTCCAGATCTGGGGATACCTTGTTTCTATTTGGCAAGGATTGTTTTCCCCTTTTCAGGTGCACCACATGGGGAGTCTTTCTGGATTCGCAGATCCTGCTCAAAGAAGAGGTGGCAGATGTGGCAAGGAAGACTTTTGCACAACTTTATCTGGTGTGACAGTTGTACCCTTTCTTAGATCGGGGGGGCCCTTCAGACAGTCTCTCATGCCCTGGTCACCTCACAACCTAACGACTGCAATTCAGTCTATACTGAACTGCCTTTGAAGACCATCAGGAAGCTTCAACTGGTCCAGAATGCAGCAGTGTAGGCAAATGTAAGCACTTTATTTATTAAATTTATATGCCACCCATCTCACTGATATGAAAACTCTGGGCAGCTTACAATATAATAAAAAGTTTTAAAGTGCTAAAAACAATTACAATTAGAAAAAATTGAAGAGAGAAGTTAAAAGTTAAAAACAAACGGTGACGGGTGTCTAGGAGGTGAGAACTTTTCCTATCCCGTCAGCCAACTCCAATGTAGCAGGGCCCTTGCTGGAGCCCCAGGCCAAGTGGCATAGTCACGTTTTTAGGCTCTTCCTGAAGGCCAGGAATGTGGGAACAGACCTCACCTCTGACAGGAGAATATTCCAGAGGTAGAGGCCATAGCAGAAAAGGCTTTTCTCCTGGATTCCACCAGTTGAAATTCTTTGGCTAATGGGATCCAAAGTAGGCCCTTTCCACTGAAATGAGTGGCGTAGATTAGTCCAATCAGGTGAGGTGGCTCCTCAGGTACCCTATGTCCATGTAATATGTCTGCTTTTGATGCAGCACTGGTTATCAGTTTGCAATTGGGTATGACTCAAGGTTTTGGTAGTTACCTATAAAGCCAACATGACATATTTTCCCCCCAAAAGCATCTATTCCATTGATTAAATCTTATAGGGTTTGCACATTCTGAGTTCTTCAATTAAACAGTGCTTCTATTGGCACTCCAAAAGTGTAACTTTTCTGTAGCAATACTGATCCTCTAGAATGAAGTTGTCCCACAGATCTCCTGGCCGTTGCTCCTTGCTGTTATCTAGGACCTTGAAGATTTGGTTCTTTGGCGAAACCTTTGGTGAGGGAGAGTGAAGTCCTTTGTTTCATTCTTATCTAGTTTGCTGTTCTCGCCATCTTTTATTTTCCTTTCTTATTAATAATATTTCTCATTTTACTTGTGAGCTGCCTTAGTAGTTGAGAGGTAATCAACACACAAATTTGATTAATAAATTAAAATCAATGCTTGTTTTTTCTTCCTAGTGTTTCCTCCAAGTTCTTATTCTGAAGAAACAACCAAATAATTATAAAACCATCTACAACAATCAAGATTTCTCTTACAATGAATTAAATTATTCCAGAATACATGGGAAACAGATTCTAATGTTGGGAACTTTTAACACCCAAGTGTGTCAAAATTTGGCTACAAACATAATACAGAGATTTTCTCCAAACTTTAGGCTGACATCTTCAACCGAGATATCTTACATACTTGGATCATGCAGTTATTATTTCATAAATAATGTGTTTTCATTCAATTTTTTTTCTTTATACCACTGTAATATTTTATTGAAGATGGGTAAAAAATAATTCTTAAATGGCAGGGGGATTTTGATTTGTACAAAATGAGTTTACTTGTTTCACTGCAGGATACCACACATTTTATTATCTTATAATGCATCCTTTTTAAAATATAAATTACTACAAACATTGAGAAACATAATGTCCACTACATTGACAACAATATTTCAGACATAAACAAAGGATATGTTTTGGTTCTTTTAGCAGTGATATCTTTAACCTCATTTGGACTATATGTTTTGTGCTAATAAGCCAGCAGATTCATGGACGAAGAAATGTTGTCTTGATTGCACACGTTACAACTGTAAATATTTTAAAAATCATTAATACAGTATCCTCCAAGACTACATAATAGACAAACACTTTAATAAATGCAAACATATTTTAAGGACTGTTTTGTCCAAAGTAGCAATACAGAGATATTTTTCAATTTTCCTGAATTTTCAACTCTACTTTATAATTGTTGGTTTATGAAGATCAACATCTATATGAATCAGCTGGTAAGTCTTCTAAAATCTCCTGTTATAATTTTGCCAATGTAATATAAAATCCAAGTTTACTTCTTTTTTCTATTTATAAGCTCCAGAAAGATAGTGGAGTCCAAACAAGTATAAAGAGGTTTTGGAACCATTAAATGGTAAGAAGCTGAAATGTATCTAAATTGGCAGGTAATTACTTCAAATATAATCTACCTGGAGATAACAATAAGCTTTTTCTTGGAATAAGCAGAATTCCCCTGTACAATCAGGTTCCAACTCTACTGATGGCCTGCAAATCTTTTGCTATCTTAGCCATCATCTTTAATTAGACTTTGGCCATTTTATACATTACTCACACCTGGGTTAGACTATTTCACTGTGTTCCATAAGGAGCTTCTTTTGAAGAAGTCTAGAAATACAAGTGCCCAAAATGTGGAAGAATATTCTTTATCAGTTGCATAGATTGCCCAAGTATTTCAAAGACCAACTCAATGTGCTCTGTCTGTCCTAGCAACATTCATATCAGTCTTTGGCAGAAAACCAGCCGCATCTAACTAACCCTAAGTAATATTTGTGATAAGGATCCTGTTTGAAAGTTCTTCTTTAAGATCAATTTGATTGGCAGGTATAAGGGGGGGAAAACTTTTGAAATGGTAACAGTAGGAAATATTCTATCTCCCAAAGATGTGTCTGTGAACAATTTTGGCACAGTCCAAAGGTTCATGTCAATTATTTCAAGCTGTTGTTTGAAATTTTAAACATAAAACAAAAATCCTAAAGTATTGCTGATATCTTTGGAATGTTTATGGCACATAAGCATATTTTAAAGGACCTATTTTTAAATTATTTTATTGTAATGTAACCATATTACATTTTACCTATTCTTTAGGATTTTGCCCTAAAATGTAACAATACACACTTGCATGAAAATTAAGTATTAATCAATTGTAAGCTAATATGTCCTCTGATCAAAGGTAATAAAATGCAATATAATTATATGCATAAGAATGGTAAAATATTGACCATATTGGTACCATAATTTATTAAATATTAGTATTAAAAGTCTTGGGTCTATTTCCTGGTATAAACTGAAGAGTAAGAAACAATATATATCTACAAAAAACCAGAAAATAATACAAAATGCTCTGCAAAACAATAGTTCTCATGTAACTTCTACAATGAAAGGTACTTGCATTAAAATTAACTAAAAGGCTCTTGCTTATTCAGAAGAGCATATCCTATTAATTAGAACACAGGCTTTCTAATCTCTTGGGACTCCTATGATAAATGGACCACAACCCACTGAAGAATTACTACATAAAAGTTTTTATAAGGCCTAAAATAGATACAACTACAGGATATATCAGTTTGCTCCAGAATATTTAACAACTTAATTTGAAAAGAAAAAAAGATATTTCTTATAAATTTTATTTCTAAAAGGTTTAAAGGTTGAACTTTTTGAGAATGCTACAATTAGGCATAAATGCACATTTTAATAACATAGAATAAGCAAGATCAGGCTTAAGAGCTGGTTAATTTAAAAGGCAATCTTTATATGTTCTTAAAATAATTTGTTTCATCCAGTTACAATATAGCTGAAACTTGTCATTTATTAACTAAATATGAGAATGATGTAATATGAGAGTACAGCATATAACTTTGTTATTGCATTTTAAAAATAAAGTTTTTCATACAGTACTTTTAAAATGAAAAAAGTTTCAATACATCACATGGCTCACAATCTCATATCTATGTGTGAATGAATATACATCTTCAGATTCTGTTTCTGATTATGGCTCTCTTACTCTCTCAACTGCTGATACAATCTTTTCCCTTGCACTAGAGAAGATGCAGAGATCTTCCACTTTTCAGTGCAATTTTTAACACATATTTATATAAAAAATTATATAAGACAGTTTACAAAAAATCATGTTAACTTTTAACTTAGTCACATAACCTTCCTCTACAGATATTTCACATCAAAATTTCAGTACATTTTATTACTCTTTAGTCTATTGTTTTCAATGAATAAATAAATAAACCTGTCTAAGTTTTCACAACTTGTTTGTAATTTTTTATATTATCAGGATAAATCAAGGATTTAGACTATCCTTGATGGTCATTTTAGTATAAATGACACTGAAAGTATACTTTTATTAGTGTAACAATGTATTATTCCCCATTTTTTAGCTAAGATGAACTTCCAAAGAATGTTACAATTACTATCCATAAAAGTAAATATATTAAAACTGAATAGAGCTGTTTAACAGACTCTCTAGATATGTGGCACCTGATTATTTTCTTAGAAGCAAGATGTAAAGTTTTAACTTGGGCTTTCATGTAGATGTGCATAACATTACAGCATCTAAATAATATATGGAAACCCTTTGCTCTGTAAAACAGAGTTGATTTGTCATTTTACTGAAATATGCATGTAGAATTCTTCTCTCTGGAAACAACAAAAAGTTGAAACAACAGAAAGCAGACCTTTTCATGGCAGTAAAAACTTTAAGTAATATCCAGATAAAACATTAACTTAGTCACCCTTTGAGCACTGAAATAGTGTGAACTCTTGATTTTCTCTATTTAAGAATCTTAATTTTGAATTTTAAAAAATGATTAAAGCAAGGACCACACTGGTCACAAATCAAATTCCACCTACTTTCTACCTACTTGTTTTGAAGAGCAATTAGCTGCGATCACCAATAATAAAGTATAGTTTAATTTTAGTTCGATATAAATTGCTAGATTCCTATGTTACACTTAATCATTCAGAAGACACAATGGCTATGTTTACACAAGAAGCTAAATCAAAGCCAAATAAATTACACCATGGCTTAATGACAGTCAACATGTTAGTCTTAGCAGTAGAAATTCCCTTACCTGAAATATGCCAGAATCTATGAAACATATTGCTTAATAAAAGTATTGGTTTTTAAGGCCCCTCAGAGTTGTATTTTCTACTGTAAGAGATTATCATAGGAAAACTCCAAGAGTGCAAAGTAAGGGAGAAATTCTACAGTACTAGAAATATTTGTATTATTATTTATTCAGTTGTTAGCAAGCTTTTGGTAAAAGCTATCTGAATTTCAGAGGGAGCTCATTACACACTATGCTTTTCTTAGAAAATCAGAGAGCCCGTAACCACAACTACAGCATGCTATATGTATAGGCGAGCTGGCCTATACTATTTCAGGTTATATGCCTGTTAGCTTCTATGAGACTGTGCCTGATTTATCAGTAGATCTTCAATTTTGTTCTCTATTATAACTACACTATAATTTTCTCTTTCAGTAAATTTATTACACGAGACAAATTGAGAATGAAGTTTTACCTCTGAACCATAGCTGCTAACTCTTAACAAACTTACACTTTTCGGAAATATTTTCTTTCAGGTTGATGTGATGGCTTGGCCATTAAGATGCTGGGTTTGTAGGCTGGATAGCCAACAGTCTGGATTCAAGACCCAGCACTGCACAATGGGGGTGAGAACCTGTCTTTCTACCTAGCAGTTCAAAAGCATGCAAATGCAAGAAGATAAATAGGTACTACTTTGGTAAGAGGAAACAGCATTCTGTGATGTTATGCTGGCCACATGACTGCAGAAATATCTTTGGACAGTACTGGCTCAACGGCCTTGAAACAGAGATGGGTGGCCACCCCCTATATTCATCAACAACTAGCAGAGTAAAATCCTAGCAAAATAAAATCCGTAGGGACTCCTTCCTTTCCTTTCTTGTTGCAACTTCCATAAATGTGAACTTTAATTCAAATTCCTAGGGAAATATGTACTAAAAGAACTGAAAATTTTCTCTGTCACATTATAACTGAAACAGACTACTAACATGCAATGTACTTTAACCTTCAATTGGCATTCTACATTACAAGGCTCTGGTATTCAGTGAGATTATGGACTCCTGAATCCATCTTTACATGCAGTTTAATTTGGCAAAAAAAAAAAAAAATGAAAATAGAGTAAAATATGCAATTTGCCTGTTTAATAATGAAGCATTCTTTTCCCCCCTCTCTAATAAGATGATGATGAGAAGTTCTTAAGTTTCTTTCCTGTTTCAAAGCCTCAGAGCATATACTAAATGACATAATGTAATAAAGTGTTAGCATTTCACTGAAGGTAGGCAGTAGCAAATATGACTTCATTTCAAAATCTATTGAATTTTAACAGGAACCACCAGGATCAGCTTGTTATCTTCCATAACTCCACTAGTTTTAAGTTCTGAAATCTTTTCAGATATTTTGACGAATTGTTAAGAGGTCTGTAAGGGGCATGCATAAGCACACCAACGTGCCTACCGTCCCTGTCCTAATGTCCCCTTTTATTCGCATCCATTTCATGTATTCATAATCATGTTTATACTTATATCTGTTATCTAATACATGCTTGACAAATAAAATAAAGAAAAATAAATAAGGAAAAGGATCAAGAAGGGGAGTTTCCCCTTGCAGTCATGTACAGCAAAGGAAAACAAAACAAAGCCTCAAATTCGCTTCCCAAATAACTCTTACCGTGCAAGTGACAGGTATCACTGGGGCTTTTGCATACTTACACTTATCCAGTTTCTGGTACTGTAGATAGATCTGGCGGAGGGAAGGTCTGGTGGTGGTTAACCCCTTCTCTGACGGGCAATGACCAGGAATGGTAATAATCCTGTCCTTTGCCAGTAAGTCTCTGAAGGCAAAGGCGACTCAACGAAACTAGTCCCACCGACCTGGGTTTGTCAATAAGCGACCCCGCGTTGCAGTCTCTCATCACTCGCCTCTGCGGTCTCTTTACCTCCGGCTCACCTTTTTTCCCCTCCTTACCTGTCCAAAGTGAAGAACTTCTATGGGAAGAACTTACCTGAGAGAACTCGGAGCCAGGAGAAACGAAGTAGGTCTCTCCTAGGACAGGTGTTCTGAACCTCGGTGAAGCTAAAGGCGCCAGTCTCCCAACCGCACCTTCCGAAATACCTGCCCCAAGAAAAGAGGAGCTTCTCTGCCGTTTTGCACCCTGAGAGGAAGCGGCTCGGTTTCTATAGCTACTTCCCGCGAGAGTTCCTATGCCTAATCCCTAGCAATCTTCACCCACCCCCACGAGGTTTGACTCCTTTTTTCTCTCTCCCCAACTCGGGTATCCCCGAGTGCATGACGCCAGCCCTGACGTCAGCAACCCAACCTGTCAAGTTTAATCAATACACACAAAATTAAATATGTTTCTTTCTTTTTTTTTTTTTAAAAAAAGTAAAGGCTGCAATCAGTCTTTTTTTTAAAAAAAAAAAACCCACTATTATTCCATTATCTCTAGGCTGTTGCTAAGTAACCCGCCTACTACACAACGGGAGGATTGTTCGGGTCCCTCCCTCTCCTTTTGTTATCTGGGGATAATTTTCAAACATAGTCTTCAAAAAAACTGGGAAGTATGCCTCTTGCCTCCTCCCCCGTAAAGCTTCAAAAAAAACAACTGTTGAGAAAACATGACGTGAAAACAATCCGCCACCTTTTCGCTAAATAACGGAAAACAAGATGGCGGCGCGGGGGAGCGTTTCATTACTTTTTTTTTTCCTCCTTTCAAACCTACGGGAAGCCTGCCCCTTTCTTACCCCAGCATGCTTTGCGCTTTTCTAACGAATTTCGTTACGAGTTTGCCGTTTGGGCGCCATTTTCGAGTGTAGAAGCCGCCAAGGCTGCAGGCAGGAAACGAAGGTGGCTGGTACTGCAGGGGCTGCTAGTCGGAAACTTGCTGGCCCGCGCTTCTAGTTACCAACTCCGCTCGTGGGTGAAGACGGAATACTTAGTAGCTGCCTGGTAAGCTCATCAGTGGATATAATATTCCTGCGCTTTGCTTCAGGAGATAATATTTTTGAGGAACTCGCTGGGATTAGACCGGAGGTTAAAGCTTCGATACGGTAAATAATTATTTGTTCTGTATGAGGAAAAGTATTTCATTCCGCCTAATTGAGAGAACGGAAATTCCGCGCAAATTTGTCTCTTGTACGGAAAAAGCACTTGCTTCATTTCCCCCCCCTCCTTCCCCCAACCGGCGGACACTTTTTCTTCTCCCCCGCTTTTCCCACTCCCCGCCACCGCGTGGGGGAAGGGGACAGAAGGCATTGGTTGGCTTTTTTTCCGTTGCCTCTAATAAACGCCAAGTTGACTCCCTAACTTTTATTCTCGCACAGCCATTTTTTTTATTTGAAGTAGGCTGTCATAGTGCCTATCCCGCTCAGTTCGTATTATTTCTGTAAAAAGTGATCTTCGTGGGAGTTTTTTGGGGGGGAGGGGGTGTGGAAAAAATAATTAGTCGTTTAAATGATAACGCTCAGCCTGTTGTTTTTTTTTTTTTAAAAAAACGATTATTCTAGCAACTTCGAAAAAGCATGCATTGCCTTCGAAGTGTAGAGGAGGGGAAGCTTCTTCCAATACATTCTTTCAGAAATTGGCAAGACGCTAATTTTTAAAACTTGTACGTTCAAATCGCAGCAGAGTTTTGATTTTGCGGCTGGGATACGCTGAGTGATATTTTGCATTAGGTTCGTAAGCCTATTAGGAAACACCGCTACTTCGACCCCTTATGGATGCAAAAGTTAAGAGGGGCGAGGAAGAGGTGATGGATTTATGAAGGTTAGAAATCTGATTTCCCCTCCCCACCCCCTAAGGATACTTAATCTTCTACTTTTTATGAAATGCTCTGCATAAGATAGTTTTTTGGAACTTCTTTTAAAATAAACGCAAAATTTCATTCCTGTCAATTGGGTTTCTTTGGATTCTGAAGTAATGAAATATGCAATTTTCTTCAGTCTCAAGTTTCCTATTGCCTTAATAGTACGTTTTTTTCTGCTAAAAATCAGAAAGATAATTGCTCCAAAATACTATGTACACCAAGTCAAACCAACACTTTAATCTAGATTAGTGGTTTTTAGGCATTTCTGTAATACTAATATCTAAAAAAAATCATGAGGCATAAAACATGTTTTTCATCTTGTTATGGTCATGTATAATTCAAATTGGGAACCCATCTAAATTTTAAGATCTGTTCTTTATAAAAGAGTTTTAATTATTTCAATTTTGTAGCTTTTGACTTTAGAATAAAACCAACATATCTGGATCCCATTATATTCATTTAAGTTCGTATTAATATACTTTTAAGAATTTAAATGCTAGATAGTCCATTTCTGTACTGCAGAGTACGTATTAGTAATTCATTTTTGGTTCTTTATCAGTTTGACTTATTTGTTGGGATAGTATGAGAGGTGTAAATTGTAATTTATAATATGCAATCTGCCTCAGTATGGAAGATACCTGCTGTGTAAAGATTAGGAAAACACATGCCGCTGTCACAAATAGCTTGCCAATTTGAAATCTTTGCTTTGATCAATTAATATTTGGGACTGGATGCAAGTTTTTATAGTCTAGATATAGGGTTTTTCTTTTCTCTTTTAGTACTTCAGCACAAAGGAAAACAAACCTCACAGTTTTTATAGTATGATTATTTGGAATTGAAACAGCAGACAGAAATCATGCCAAGCAAAAGAACTAAAGTATCTACGGCAGCCCATCAAAAAGGCAATGATTCCTTGGAGGAGTCCTCTAATGATGGGAAACCTGAAAAAGAAGCGAGTATGCACCCCCCTGAAGTACCTCAGCAAGGTCAGTCTCTTATTGACCCGATGTTGCTTTATTAACTTAGCATATAGGTGTCCTAATTTAAATTACCCTCACTATAGTTTGATTTTGTTTATTATTATGTGCTGACTTCTGCAGTGATTATACATTGTTCAGGTAAAAGTTGTGCTTAAAAGCAAATTTAGAACTTCAGGAAAAGTTAATTATTTTATTCCTGATAACTTGTGATCCCATGACATCGATAATTGAAGTAGATAAAAATTTTGGAAACATTTGGAGAGTAGTATTTGTACCTTATGTACTGGTAGACAATTACTGATCATGCTTTAACTTTGTGTTTGTGCGTGTGTGTGTTTTCTCCATTAAAAGTAAATAACTGCCAGTGTAATTTACTTATCAAATATTAGTAAGAGGATTGATACTGAAAATTGAAAATTGATACCAATTATTCAGAGAAAAGATTTTCTCAAGGAGTTAGAAAAGGTCTAAGTCTTACTGAAATGGCCAGGTTTTGTGTGTGTGTGTTTGTATATTTGAGAGAGACAAACTTCCTGTCCTTGAGAAGTAGTGCTGTTGCTGTCATTAGAACTTGCAAGGCAATGTATAGTTAGCAATCACAGTGTGCTGTTGCTCTGGGTGTGCCTGAAAATGCAGGAATATGGGAAGATTCTCTGTTTTCTTTGATGAATATATATAAAAGTATTTTCTAATATAGCAAGGTACTACTACATTAAAAAAATGGTTGCTCTGAGAATAGAATTGATTATTGAATTAGTCCTTCAGTATTTGAGAGAGATGCATTCTAGATCAATTCTTAGTAATTCAGTCTACTGTACAAATATGTTGATTCTGTTACAGTAGCATAGCTTTAAAGATGAAGCTTTTTCTTCCATTGACATATGTGTATGTGTGTGTCTACTGTAGTTATTAAGTATATCCATTTTCTTATTTTTGGTTATCTGTAGCAGTAACAAATGGAATAGTTGATGATCAAAGTTTAGAAGAAATTTTGAGTAGCATCTCTCCTCCCCCACCTCCAGCTATGACCAATGAAGCTGGAGCTCCTCGTCTCATGATAACTCACATTGTAAACCAGAACTTCAAATCTTATGCTGGGGAGCAAATTCTAGGACCGTTTCATAAGGTATCTTTCTAGGTTATGTAACTTTTATGCTGAAGTAAAGATTTATTGTGACTTTTCTACTTAATAGTTAAATATTGGCAACTAACACCGAGGTGAAGGGGGGGTAGAGCAGATGAAAGTCTCAATTGCTATTGTTTGTACTTTTCAAAAAGTTGCTTGTTGTGGAGTTCAAGAAGCTAAAAGTATACAAAGTATTTTCCTAGTACGTATGAATAACAATCGGTAATTAAAATAATCTTTTACAGTTTGAAGCATTTTATTGATGCTAATTATGAACATACTTGTTTGTAGCATTTTGTTTACTGTATGTTTTTTGGTAAAAGTTTAGAAATGCGAACTAATAGGGGGTGTAGTTTGTATGCTTTATGCTTAGCTATAAAAACTAAGCTTTCCAGTACTGTACTACATATTTTCCTGCATCATGTTTAACTGTATTTTAAACCATTGTGAAAGACAGAGAGGTCAATTGCTAGTAACCATTAAGCTGCAATGTATTTTTTGTGTGTTGTGCAGCGTTTTTCATGCATTATTGGACCAAATGGCAGTGGAAAATCTAATGTGATTGATTCCATGCTCTTTGTTTTTGGCTATCGAGCACAAAAAATAAGATCCAAAAAAATTTCGGTACTGATACACAATTCTGATGAACATAGTGACATCCAGAGCTGCACTGTAGAAGTTCATTTTCAAAAGATAATTGACAAGGTATGTTTTTTAAACCTGAAGAACCTAATGCCCTATGAATTTTTAATTATGCAGTTGATTTAATTTATGTAGAAAAAAGCACTGTGGGGGAATTTTGAATTTTTCTTATTCAAATTATTGTCTATAAAACACTGACATATTTAATATTCATTTTCTTCTGTGTAAATGTATTAAGTGTTTACTGTAAACACAATTTGCAACATTCCAGACATTTGGTTTGTATAAAACATATCAGCTACAAATGTGTGGTATAAATATTGTTGAATATTTTTTTAAAAAAAAAATTCTAGGTAATTCAAGGGTGTGGTGTGTGTGTGTTTTCGGATTTTGATCAAAATCCAATATATATATATGTATATACACACATACATGTATAATTCTTTCAGTATTAACTTTTTAAAAAATGATACAATTTACTTGAATTTACAAATTATACATTTAATGAGATTTACTTTTGCAAGGATTAGTTTGAAGTTAATTTTGGGTTTTATGTCAATGTTTCAGTGTTACAAAAAAATACTAAAAAAAATACCCACCTTACCTAAACCTAAAAAAACCCTCACATCATGCCAATAACAAATTACTGACTTAAAAATC